TGGGGCTGGTGGGCAACGGGCTGGGGCTCTGGCATCTCTGCACCGGACCCCGCGCCCGCCACCCGCTCGGCGTGCTGGTGGGCAACCTGGGCCTGGCCGACCTGCTGTACGTCAGCACGCTGCCCTTCCTCGTCAGCTACTACCTGCGCGACAGAGTGTGGACCTTTGGGCAGGGCTGGTGCCGGATCACCAGGGGCCTCTTCCACCTCAACCTCTACGCCAGCATCGGCTTCCTCACCTGCATCAGCATCCACCGGTACCTGGGCATTGTGCACCCGCTGAAGGCGCGGGGCAGGTGCCAGGGGGCAGCCTCCTCTGTGTGGCTCAGCGCCGTGGTCTGGGTGTGGGTCATCGTGCAGGTAGTCCCCGATTTTGCCATCAGCAAGATGGACGACACGGGGACGCGGTGCCACGACACGACGGGGCACGAGAACCTGGGCGTTTACTTGCCGTACACCCTGGCTGTCACTGTGACTGGGTTTGTCATCCCGTTCCTCATCATCGTCGGATGCTACTGCCAAGTGGTGGTGGCGCTCTGCAGGAATGACACCGTGGACGTCGGCCTCAGGAGAAGAAGCATCAGGCTGGTGATTCTCGTGATGGTCCTCTTCTCCATCTGCTTCCTCCCCTACCACATCTTCAGAAACCTCAACTTGCTGTCTCGAGGCTGGCAGCTGCAGGGCTCCTGCACACAGGCTTTAAAGAACATCTACATTTCCTACCAGGTGACCCGGGCCCTGGCCAGCTTCAACAGCGCCCTCAACCCCCTGCTCTACGTGATGACCAGCGAGGACTGCGTGTCACGCATAAGGAGCATCCGCCAAAGAGTCAGCCAGTCCTTGAGTCCCACCTTCAGGAGGAAAACCACTTGCCAGGAGGATGAGAAGAAGGTGGGCATCATTCTTTGTGAGGAGGAGGCTTCTGATGAGCTTTGAGGTACCCAACACCCCCTCCAAAGGATGCACCACTTCACTTTGCGCTTGGCCTCTTCTCGGGAGCAGCCCCCCGCCTTGATGCCTGTTTTGTGGAGAGATGGTGGCTGCAGCATCACCAGCTCCGATCTCACACAAGGGACAGACAGGACTGCCAGTGTCAGAGGGCAAAGCGGGACCAGGTTTTAGAGCAAAGCCATTCAACCTGGCCATTTTGCCTGGAGATGGAAAGAGATAAACGTTGCGTTTACTCCAGTCCTGAAGTATTTCTCAGTGCAGCGTCAGAGCTGGCTACCATCCCACTGGCTCCCCAGTGAGTGAGGGATGGGGGTGAACGATGCCTTGTCCCCCCACCGTGTCCCCCTGTCCCTCAGCAGACAAGGGTTTGAGACAGGATTCCCTCTATCACCCAAGGAGAGGACACCGGTAATTAACTCTCTGCATGGGAAGACAGCTGAGGGGGGAATTTTTGCCAGGGGAGGTGCTTTGGAAATGGAAACAGTCAAAAAATATTCAGTTTCAAATATATGATTAAGCTGTGCCAGTTCCTGGGTGACTGAGCTGCTTCAGGATCTGTGTTATTCTCCACTGCCCACCTCCTTCACAGAAGAAAAAAGTATGTTAGCATTACTCACTCCTTTTTGGAAGAGCATGTAGCAGACAACAAATTGACATTTCAAGTCACTGGATGCTGTTGGTGGGGTTAGGTTTTTTTGCAAGGTGAATGACTGCAGTAGCCCCAACCACTGCTTTCAGCAGGCAAATCCCAGGAGAGTCTTGAAATCTTCAGGTGGGTGGCTGCATCTCACCCTCACATCCAGCCTTACGAGGGGGTTAGACAGGGCTGTTAAAAATCAGACACACAAAAAAGAGCGGCAGTGCTGGTTTGAAGGCAGGATTTCATGGCAAGGGCAGCCCGTGTCATTGCTGGGGGTGGGGATCTCTGCTCTGGGGGGAGCAGAGGCTCCCAAGGGGCATTTTGGTTTTTACTCTTGGTGTTCCTCACCAGGGACAGCTTGAACGTTTGGGTCCTTGTGAAAGGAGCAACATGCTTTGCGAGAGCAGATCTCGCAGCTTGGCTGAAGGAAGTGAATTGTGAGTTAAAATCAGCCTGTGCTGGGAAAGTGCTGACCCATGGACATGATGCTCTTTGGACCAAAGCCCGATATTTATCACGATCGGCTGCTGCTCGCATGGACCCACCTTTGCTGCGGCGCGGAGGGAGCGCGGCTGGCTTTCAGATGAAGTTAATATGTCTAAAGTGCAAATAAACACCTAACGCTCTCAGTTGTGAGTCGTCTGGCTTCTTTTCAGCTTCATGGGAGCACAGGAGCCAGCTGGCCTGCGGGCTGCAGCAGGGGCCTGCCTGATGTGGGGAGCGGTGATGAGTTTGCCAGGGCTCTGCAGATGGGGAGCGGCTGGGAGCGCTGCCTGTGCGGTGAGACTGCGTGCACCGAGGCAGGGTCCCAGAGTCTGCTCAGAACCTTCAGCTCCCACCTCACCCAGAGGAAACCCAAAGACAAATTTAAGTTCCCAAATGAGGTGCTCTTCTCCCTCTGGAGTAGGTACCATCTTCAGGCAGTTAGGATCAGGTCTGGCCTCTGCTCCTTGCACACACTCTCCGGATCTAGGCTTCTCCAGAGCTCTGAATTCTCCTCCTTTTCTGAAAAAATACCCACGCCTCCAAAAGCTGTCCAGCTCTTCCATCTTTGCACATGGATCCCATCCAAGATGCTACACAGCCAGCTTCAGCTCCCCAGAGCCCATGGGAGCTGCAGCACCCTCTCACTGCACCCACTCTGTGCATGATTGATTGAAATAAAGCATCCCTGCATCCCGGGCAGGGAGCCCTGCATAGGAAGTGCCAGCAAACTCTGCTCTCACCCCCTGCCATCGCTGTGCCCAACTCTGTCTTCTCCAGTGCCCCCTCATGTCATCATTAATGATGATTTAAAGATTTCTATCCTGAGAGGCATCTCTGAGCCTCAGGGACAGTTGCAGCCACAAATCTGCTCATTTTTCTGTGTCCTGCATCTGTCAAATCAGCAAAAATCCATTAAGGATCTGGTGTGTTGGGCAGATGCCCCTGAGAGAGAGGGTTTTTTGGTATCTCATGCTTTGCAATCCCCTGGATTTCAGATGATGTTGCCCTTGTGAATTGAAGACATGACCTCCTTCCCTTTATTAGCTGGATGTGTAATTAAGGGCAAACCACTGGCACATGGGCCAGCATAGCCGGCTTTAGTGCTGGTGAGGAGCAGCAAAGCTGCTCTCCTTCCCCCAGCCCTCACCCTCGAGGGAGGCTCCTTCCCCCGCAACGAGCATGAAGCTGGTGGACATTGCAGGTGCATGGTCACCCCTGGGACCTGCTCAAAACACGTGGGCGCTGCTGACCCCTCCAAACCTCCTGGAGCTGCACATCCTCACAGGAGGGGATGGCTCTGCAGGAAGAAATAAATTCACTTCACCTCTTTTGGGGTCCTGGCTTAGGATGAGCTCAATGTTCCTCTTTTCCTCCCTTGGGTATCTGTTGCTGGACTTGAAGATGCCTAAAATCAGCTGAGAGGAATCCCACCTGTGCCTCCTGCTTTTCCCACAGACTCTCTGGCACAGCGACGTGGAGCATGGAACTTGTCTGCAGATCCAACCCGAACGCAGGTTTTAAACTCCCTTCCCCAGATTAGACCCGACCAACAAACCAAACATGGTGGGAACTCTCCTGCTGACATTAATGGGATCAAGATCAAGCCTGGAAATCTGGCAGTGTTTCTTGCCTCATTAAATAAACCCCTCTCGGTTGAGGATTTGCTGCAAACACAGTCAAGATTTGTTACGTTAAAGAGAAGTCCTGAGCTGTCAGCCCCGGGAAGCCGTTCAGGCAGAATTAACAGGCACACATACAGATGTACA